AACGTTGATGGCGCTATAACAATACAACGTTGAAGAAAATGTTTTGATTAATTTGTGGATACGATTTACTGCTCTTTGATCAAAATTTATCAGTATACATATAGTCTAGCTTCCGTCAGAAATTCTGTGACGATCGAGTGGTGATTTGTAATGAAATGATTTTGAAATGCGACGCTTCATGAAACATGACGCAGTGTACATGCATATTTTCGGGGCGGATTGCGTAATTATGATTCTGTATGTCAGTTTTAGTTATTTCGACGGCAACATTGCATGTCGCAGAACTACACGTACTAGAGTGTTTCTATAATTGATTGGTCGTGGGAGCTCATAGCCGAGAGACCGAAAAAGGACACAGTGCGTGCGTAGAACGACTTGACAGCGTCGATTTGAAATTATATCTGCGATAGTGACTGTGTCCCAATTTTTATGTTTCATGGTCGCCGGGAAGTTGACTGACCGGGCAGATGCCCCAACAGCTGCACGTCGCTCAGTCGCCATTATCTGCTAGAAAAAAGGAAAGGCAAACTAAATTAAAAAAAAAGAAAGATTTTGTTGACAAGCCTAGTAAGACGTCAGTTATAAAAATAATTGCGACCAGTCACTAGATCGTTGAGCGGGATTGCCGTTTTCTTCTCCTAAATCTATAAATAGATTTGCATAATTAGACCATCTAATTGACGTCACTTTCCGTTGCCTGAGAACGTTCGATGCTTATAATAATGTGCCGGGCATACATCTACGCAGTTGTCGCTCGACTATAATACTACAGTAAACCAGCTAGGCCAAAAGATGGGTTTTTGAAGTAACGAACAAAAAAAAGCCGGTTGACATTCGCTCGTGTACACACTGTCAGCGACCACAGGAAGATTTAACTTGCCGCTAAATGAGTACTGCTACGTTCGACGATGACCACGATTTGGACAATGGCATCGATATTACCAAACCGCCGCCGCCACCTCACACCTTGCTGGCGACGCCGGTCGCGGTGGATACATTGGAACGTATCGGCAGCAAGGCGAGCCTCTGTGCGTACCACCACTGCGTCATTGTAGGGCCTCCATCATCAAATTCAATGTAAGCTTCGTTTCACTTCACATCCTGCAATTTGCACCAAACATTTTAAAAATTCACACTTTTCAGATATTTAAAAAAAAAGCGAAACCAGGAAAGCTGGTAGTTGTAGATTTGGACAACTTCGTGCGAGACCGGTATAGTAGCGCCACCAAGAAAGGGATGCGAATGCTAAGTGGTTTTGCATGGTCGTATTTCGCAATTACTTTGTATTCTAAGTGTGCAAATGTCAAAGCAAATCGGACTTGCGTTTAATAACTTTAATAAACAAATCTGGGTGTTTCCTCCAGCCTCATTCTTTTGACACATGGCGAACTGATTTTAATATTGAATGAAGTTTCATTCTCTATAACCAAGCACTCTAAAACAGTTGATTGCCAACCATGTACGTTCAGTGTATGATATATTAAACATAATTAGTTGTAATAACTTATAATTAAAAAAAACACACAATTAATTGCCTTGTAAATTATTTTGAGATGTTGTTCAAAATTAAACTTTTTAATTTCAATTAAACAAAATTATTATTTATACAATTATTTATACCAAAACATAGTTAAAAATACCGATATATAGATGAACAACTCAGTAGGTAAAAGATTTACAAATTCAGAGTCAATGCTTTTTATCTACACTGTCTATAACTGCTCACATCATCTCTATTTTCCACTAAAATATTTAATATTCTACTTGCATGCTATCTTCTTGTTTTCAGCTATAATTTATTTAACTCCTTTTCTTGAGTAGTTTTTATTTATATAAAACAATAATGAGAAACTTGGGAATACTTCATTTCAAACAGAATGTCTTGTGAGCAAATATTGCTCTGTGATTGTTTCCCAATGATCCCGTCATACTAGTCAGGCTGTCTACATAGAAATGATAGTGTAAGCTCTCTGATAATAATTTTATTAACGCATAACGCAACTCGTAGATGAGATGAAAGAGGTTACAAAAAGGAATTCAAAACTTCAGTGACGACTTATTTCCTTACTGTCTCTTCAAACTCACCTTTCTCACCTCACGTTTCCATCAGGACTATCAGTGACTTTATTTTGTTGTATGAGTTGATTATTCTAAATATATTTTTAGTGATATGGATACTAAAGTTGTAACAGCTAATAGTTTATATAAGTGATGTTTTACTTTAATTCGGTGTTGAATTACTTAAGAAGAGAAATCTGATTATAATAATTCACTATGTCATATGTGTATAGTGGGATCACTGTCCTACTGTGAGGAAAATTGTTAGTGTAGACTCCCTTTTGATCTCCTTATCTACCATGTGATGTAAGAAACATAATTTACAGTCCCACCTCTTTTTCAAATATCCAATAGTGGTAGTTCAGTGCTGGTAGTTGACTTCTGTCAGCAGATTGTTTTTTTGTGTGTGAACTGATATGGAAATTTATTGTGTGTAAAAATATATATGCTCCTTTAAATCTAGAATTAAAGCTGAATAAAATGATTTATTTACTTTGGTTTTGAGGTTTGCAGTGTTTTGGGTATTTTGCTCTCATCTATACATCAACTTCTCATAAAAAGAAATCTAATACAACATGTACTATGTTATTAGCTGACCACAGTGTCCCTCTATAGACAGGTATGAAAAATGACCGTCTTTCATGGATATGATAAATATGATAATGATAATTAAGACCATATCATTAACGCTGCCCAAAACACTTAACTTGACACAAAAAGTGATCAGGGAATGTGAAGGAAACATTTTGTGACAGATATTTTAAAATAGAAAAATTAGAATTCAACTTGAACTAGTCCACCATGTTACTGGCATGCCCATTTCAATTAGTTCCAAAACATGTTTTTTTTTTTCTTCACACCTCAAACAACCATACCATACTACCCTGACTGATCCAATTCATTAACTGTCTGTTCAATCAGTGTTCAGATTGCTGTACATACTTGGTATGATAAACATATTGCATAACTTAATTTGAAATTTTTGTTGTGCAGTCGGGCTGAAATTTTTCTGTCATAGCACGTTAAAAATGAGAGAATTTCAGCGCAAATCACTGCAAACTAACTGGCTTTGTGCCCATTCCTTCCTTTTTCCCATTCTATTAAGTCTATGGATATACATAAACAAATTCAAAAAAGTAACTTTTCTTTTCAAATTTGCCTTGTGTATGCTATCTGGCCTGTACCCTTTAGTGAGATGGCTTATATTTCAACCTGAACAAAATCTAATTTTTCTTTTGAGGAATCTCAATTTTATGTTACATTTGGTTGACTTGATGGTCTGGCTATTTAACATATTAGTGTTGATGTGGTTCATATACATTTTTCCTCCCAGATTTTGACCAGAATGGCTGACATTTGTATGGCGGTCATTTTATTTTTTTATTTATCTTCATGCCATTTTCCATTTCCATACTCTCCAACAGTTGCTATGATGTCACACTTTACCCACAGTCCTTTGCTAGAGAATCAACATGGTGGACTACACGCAATACTAAAATATCTAGAGAATGAACATTTGTGGAGCTCTTTTATTTGGAAGCATTATGTTTTCTCTTTTAATCTTTTTACTTGAAGCAATCATTCTAGAATTGAGATTATGCATTCCATAGATTTTATGTTGAGCTGGTTTAAACTAACTTTGCCCAATTCATATTCTCAGGGTTGTGAATTTGTACATGCAACGATTCGCATCAGTAGCAAACAGGCATGCACGTAATGTACAATGTATAATCAATCTGCTTTGCCAAACCATTCGTGAATGAATCGGGTGAGGGGTAAGAATAAAAAATATATAGGCAGGATACTGTAACCATGAGTAAGGTTAAATTCTCGTATATTCACTTGTATTAATAATCACACCTTCTTGCAGCAAATGGGTATTTCTTGAATTACCTAGTACCCCTACGTGCCTTTACAAAGTTGTCTGTCAGGACATTCAGAGATTGTTAGTACAATTATAGTTTTAAAATGGTGTATTGATAGCACTCTGAGAATATTTACTGTAGAATACTTTATTTTCGCTGGAATTAATTTTCGCTGAAAAGGCTTTTTGGGCGTTTTGTATGGAATGTATTTTCACTGATTTTTAATGTGAAATATAGGAAAATAAGTATATTCGCTGGATTTTATTTTCACAGAATCATCCCTTCAGCGAAAATAAAGTATTCTACAGTATTTTAATTTCATGCACGTTTCATTCAAGGCCGTAATATATTGTCATCGTCGTCAAGATATTTCTTACACGAAAAATTCAACAATTCCTATAATTATTCTGTTTGATTTTTTTATCTAATTATTAAATGTTTTTTAAAAATTGCCAAGAAGTAGTTTAGTTATACCAATAATGTGACAACTCTATCATTGACGTAATTTACTTCAAGAGGGAAAGGGATACTAATTCAGAGAAATAAGTTACTGTAGAATACTTTATTTTAGCTGGAATTAATTTTCTCTGAAAACACTTTTCAAGTGTTTGTATGGAATTTATTTTCACTGATTTTTGACAAGTTGAATGTAAAACATAGGTAACATTGTATATCCGCTGGATTTTATTTTCACTAAATCATCCCTTCATCGAAACTAGCGAATATAAAGTATTCTACAGTATTATAAAATTCCTTAGCCTGCATACATGTAATGTATGTAATAATTGTATTTATGTGCTTTTCTAAAAACAAAGGGAAAAAAACAACGTTGTAATGTAGGTTTTATGAATGAAAATTTGCATAAAATATGCAAACACAAAAAAGGGATATATGCTGTGGCTTCATGGACAATATTACGCCTGTCTTATAATGCACTACTCTAGTACATATGTAACTGTTCGCAATTACAAATTGTTGAGAAATTTTTGAACTCCATAATTCCCATTCTGTTTATAGTCAAAGAGAACACTGCAGTAGCTGGTAATTCATACTTGTCATTGTTTTCTTTTTTTACAGCAAAGATCAAGACACAGTTGATGTGCACACATTTACTTTCCATGATCATGAGAAGAAAATTAAGAAAAAAAGATTGGGATGCATAGTGCATGGAACCACCAAGTGAGTCTATCCGTCTATAACTACCCATACACACACCCACTTAAAACACTTTTTCCATCCCACCCATCAACCACAAACACACCCACTGACTGACTGATCGATCAATTGGTTTATTTGGTCATACAGTCATTCATTTTTATAATTTCCAAATATATTTTTTTTTTATTTATTGTATAATTATTACATAGCAATCCTTTTATACAATGTCACAAAATTTGCAGAAATGAGAACATAATCTTCGCAAATTAAACCATGGCATTTATACCTATGTTTGATTTTGTGTTGTAACTTTTTACAGCCAATACAATTATAATTCTGTATATAAATACAAGCTGTTGAAATATAACTGTAAAAGCATGTAATACCTAAACCTACCCTCAGATGTCTGTTTCGGGATATAACCGTCTCAGTTGATTCACCATATTTTCTGTTTAATCTATTGGGAAGGCATGCATTGCTTTATAGCGTATATAATCTCTACTTACTTACTTACTTACTGATTATCACACTATGACGTACAAAAGATTAATAGTTTAAACAAAATAATGGTGTCCCATGACTCCATAGTGCAATCCCAGGGATTAACAACTTCCCCTTTAAAAAGATTTGATGCTGTTTTCTTTTTGTCTCTGTTATTCTGTTATAATGAACAAAATATTGAACTGACCTCCCATGGTATGAATGTAGTAGTAATGTGTATAGAAAATCAGCAAAGTGTGTCAATATACTGTCATTGATTTTTAATTTCCTGCCCAGTAATTTAGACTTTATAATTACTTTTCCAAAGCAATTGTTTATTGTTTGATGACATTACCACGGTTTATTAATTGAACGCTTTACCATGGTACATGTATTGTAAAATACTTTATTTTTGCTTGGAATTAATTTTCGCTATTTTCGCTGAAGGAATAATTCAGTGAAAATAAAATCCAGCAAATATACCTTTTTTCCTATATTTTACATTCGACAAGTCAAAAATCAACGAAAATTAATTCCATACAAAACACCCAAGAAGACTTTTCAGCAAAAATTAATTCCAGCTAAAATAAAGTATTTTACAGTAACCATGAAGAAATAACCTCAACATATGCAAGCATTCTCTATAAAGAACTTCTATTTATTAATTGATTATTGTTTTTTTATTTTATCTTTAGGCAATTGATGAAACATATTAAAGTAGCCACCATTTTCAGTCTAACTGTTCTCTGTGCTGTAAGTACATGTTTATCAACTTCTATAGTATTTGCAGAGTGGAAAATTTGAAAACAATAACAATATGGTCAATTATCTATATATGGTACTTGTGTCTCTGTAGAATACTTTAATTAAATTATTTTTTAATACCCGGATTTATTGCAATTTTCATAAAATTTTGATGTGGTGTTTGTAATTTGTTTCCAGATTCAAGTATTGATCGTGATATATAAATACATGTAGTACATGTATTAATCAGATTTTTGCTCGAGTACTTTAGCATGTTTCCATGGAAACAATGACTTATGATTTTCTCATAGTCTTGTGTTCATAATATTGCAGCCATTTTTAATTACCAGTAATAATTCATAAAAACTCGAAAGATTAATTATAATTAAAAAAATATCAGTTTTGTAACTTTGAACTCTCAAAAAGTTTAAGTTGACAACAAAATATTACCTTTGCAAGGAATTCCATGAAAATTATGATTTATTATAATATTATAATTAAATGCTTGCAAATTTTGCAATCTAGATTGGCATCTGTGAAATTTTCTGATTTAGATCTGTCGAAATTGCAGTTGTGAGAAATGAATAATTCATTGCTGAACCTTGGCCCACAATGCCGAGCAGCCCTGACCTGACTGTAATCCACAGCTTACAATACATTATACATCAACTTTGCACAAGACACATACATGGTTGTTATTTTTGCTTGTACCGCGATAAATACAAATTCATAAATGTGCAGTGTATATGTAGCAGAGTTCCTAAATGTTGCATTTGTATATAGACATTGATTACCTCTCAAATAAATACAGCAAGACATTAAAATCAATATCGATTGTCCTGCAATATCCCTTGGGGATGACTATAATATGTCTAGTAGAGTACAATTATTGAGGCTAGATAAAATCTACGAAAACTATTTATTGTATCTGTGAAGCAAATGAGTTATCACATTTTAAAAAGATTTCTCAAACAATGGCCTTCCTTTATAACCGAAGATATTCTAATCTGTGGTATAGGATCGGATAGCAGAAAGATACTAGCATGTTATTTTAGCTAATTTAGCTAATCTGTAATTTCGCTAATTCAAGATGTCGCTAATTTAACAGAAAGTATATTCTCACAATGTCGACACTTTAGCTAAATTTAGATTTTGTTAATTCATGTCAAGAGTCAAATCCACTAAAATTGCATGCAGCTATTTCCACGTGTTCTACTGTATTCCAGCTCTGAGGCTAATTTACATATTAAAGATGGGGGCCTTGAGCTGCTTTTTTATTTGAGTATTGAGCCAAAATGATATCACATGTAGACACTTATCATAAATACATGCCCATGATAAAGCACCATGTTTTTACTAAATTTTGACACACAGTTAATATTAGATTGGGATTATATAGATTTTCAATATGAAAAAATTGGTGAAAAACTCATCTTATGCCCCTTTAACAATGCTTTTCATTAGAAGTCTGTAACCGGTTAATTTGCCCAACTACTTTAACCAATTTTCGGCTACTTTGAAAATCTGAAATTGATAATTCACTTAGAGAATCTTTTGTTTGTGCAAGGTACAACTTAGGCGAAATATTTTTATTTGGAACGATAATTTTTTTTTGTATAGTTCTATAGGAATACATGTTTGCACAAAACCATGAAATATTTCTAAAATATCAACATATACCATTAAAAATGCCATATATACAGTATATATGGCATTTTTAATGGTATATGCCACAAATATGCCACAAATACCATCAAATATGCTACATATACTATCAAATATGCTACATATACTATCAAATATGCTACATATACCATGTACATGTATAACATCAAATATGCTACATATACCATCAAATATGCTACATATACCATCAAATATGCTACATATACCCAGTGTTCTCCCCAGAAAAATGTATCAGAGTGGTGGCTAATTTGCATATAATTTACATATCATTAGCATATGTCTGGAGATAAAGAAAGCAACAATGACAGGCTTGCATGGATGAAATTATGTCTTTATTTTTTAACAAATTTATGTACAAGATTAAATGAATCTGCTGCTGTGTGATTCCTATGTAATGTTGATTCTTCGGACTTTCATGGAAGCCCAGTGATCTGCAGCTTTTGAGAACGCCGTGATTTTCTTTGCTTCCCACTTCTAATGACATGGCCTTCTTGTGCATCTCTGAGTGTGCGTGTTTAGATAGCATATTTCGTAATATTTATACATGGCATAGAATTCCATACCAAAGAACTATTTCTGGATGTTTTTAAGTTGAATTTTCCACATATGTGACACAGCATTCCTAAAAGATAAGAAATAGGAGCGAATCAATACTTGTATTTAAAAAATATCGCCACGATCAACACGAAAATAAACAAATTGACGCCATTTTGAAAAGTCGCTAAACTAAAAAATTGACACGATAAAATTTACCCAACTATTTCAAAACACAATACTAGTATTAGTTATTTTGATAAATCGTAGCCAACAATTTTTGAACTTCCAGAAAGAAAGTCGTTTCCAAAAAAATGTTTCGACGATCGGCAAAAACTGAAGCCATACAAAAGTTTACTAAACTAGGTCAAAATACGCTTCCAAGTAAAACGCTACAAATAAATACTTTTTTTACCTTTGCCATCGGATGTTTCTCTCAGCCACGTATATTTTGTTGTCCATTGTGCATCAAATCCAGAGTTTATTTTTTTGCACCCTTCGTTGTAGCATCATCTTGGACACGTTTAGTACCACTGCCGACAGGGGTACCGGTGACAGCGTTGCTGGTGGGTTTATCGCTCGCAACCAGGGGCCCAGCAGGGCGTTCTACGCGGAACCACGACGTAATATTTCTGCTTTTTGACATCGTTGCTTCTTCCAGCCGAATATGCTACTGAGAAAATACTCGCTATTACCCCAATTAAATAGGGCGAAAGTGTTTATTGTCGAAGTACGAAGCTGTATTAGTCCATTGTCTTTGCGTAATCACTGACATGTTTCCATTCACACCTGATTTGGCTCACAGTACCGGACGCTGATGATGCTGACTAACAGATTCGCACGTGTATTTACAAGCTAAAACAAAGAGTAACAGGAAATGCCACAGAGTAGTGGGCAATCTCTCAGAGTAGCGGCATAAATAATAGAGTAGCGGCCCCGCTACGCTAAAACGCTTTGGGGAGAACACTGCATATACCACATACTATGCTACACATACCATTAAATATGCCACATATGCCATCAAATACGCCACATATACCATCAAAAATGCCACATATACCATCAAATATGCTACATATAAAATCAAATATGCTACATATAACATTAAATATGCTACATATAACATCAAATATGCTACATATAACATCAAATATGCTACATATACCATCAAATATGCTACATATACCATTAAATATGCCAATAAACATATAACAAGTACAACTTGAATATGAAGTACTGATTGATCCTAGTGACGTCTAACAGGGACGTTTATTGACAAGATGCCAAATGAGGCAAACAGATAATAATAATAATTAGACATGAAAGTGTGTCATTGAGAGGTTATTGAAAGTTCAGTAAATCTACAATGAAGTTATTGTGGGGTCACATTAAGTGTTGTTCAAAGTTTGACTTGTTATTGAGAAGTGAATAAAGATTTGTGTCATCAATATCATTCTGATTTGCACATGAATGTCAGCTATTTTGTAGTTTTTATCTAGAAAGATTAACTGCAGACTACTCCATACAAGATGTAACCTACTGTGTTTAAATTGTAAAAAATACTTTAAATTTTAATTATATAGTGAGTAACATTAACCAAAATAATAACCAGTAACTGTGATAGACCTTTTTTAAACACAACATTTTTTTGAATAATCTCCCAGCATGCAATTTTTTATAATCTTGTATATTGCAATGTATGGAATATACCTAATCTAATTTAATTTAATTTACCACAATTTTAAACCCAAACTGGTGAACAAAAATTATTTATAATGGCAGCAACCAGGGAGATGGGTTCAAGAAATTGGATTAGTTTATAATTTGGAAATAAAATCTATTAATATAATGATAGTATTAATGATTTTGCATATTAAGCAATTACAGCATATACAGTTACATTACAGCCTGAAAAACTAAATTGCATGGCAGTAAAGGAATCCCTAAAATCAAACAAACAACCATTAAAACCATTAAAACAAGATCACTCAGTCAATTGCTGAATTACAACAATGTCAAAGGCAACTCACTGTAATATCCCAGTTTATTTTTTTTTTAAGACTCGACCATGGTCACAGTCTAAAAACACTGTTAACTTTTATCACATTCTGTATACCATCTATTAAATGAATAATAACAATATAATTGAGATAATTGTAAGGACATTTTTATAAAGGCATAAAATATAGAAAGAAATGATAGTCATTTCATCTAAATATTTCTCTTGATAGAACTGATTTTCATCATATTCATCATGTCTCCAGAGAGAATGAAGGAATTACAATTCTGTGAACTTCCATCAGTTTATCTCAGACATGTCTGAATCAATTATATTCAATCTTGACACAATAATATGTACAGTTTTGCAGTTTTGTTGACCAGATTCAAGATGGCTGCCTGATAGCCATTCAAGTTTTAAAAAATCGTGCGTTTCTTTCCAATTCTGCCAAACAAGTATTCCAGGAAAAAAATCATATATGCAATGCATATTGGGTTGCAGGTGTACCTTGTTATTTTTGAGATTCAATATGACCATTTGGCGACCATTTTGTTTTTTCCCGTTTTGTTTTTCTACATATTGTTTCCCTCTTTTTTACTTTTTACTTTTTAATCTCAGTGACATATGTTTAGCTCCGCTGTTGACTTTGTCGAGCGGAGCTTATCATATGAGTGATTGTCCGCCGTCGTCGTCGTCGTCCGTGTCAATGTTTTACTTTTTCGACTTCTTCTTGAAAACTACAAGCCTGAATGCTTTGATACTTGGTGTATATGTACCTTGGGTAGACCTC